ACTGAAACACAAAACATACTTAGATATCACAAGGAAAATAGGTATTATAAATAAAGTTCATTTCCTGAGCGGAGATTGAAACTCAAATCATTTAAGAATTGATTGATAAGAATTGAGCTTTAAATTTACAAAGGTACTTGTACTTGAAAGCTGTATCTAGATTTGGTACAAATTTGGTACAAATTCATTACTTTTTTCATTCATTTCTTAGAGCAAAGAGTGGTCTTTATAAGAAATGAATGAGCAAAGTAATAGAAAAAATATGTGTGTGTGTATTTTAACACAAACAAGCTTCTCTAAAGCACTTACTTAGGTTGGATAAAGCAAACATACCTGCTCCTCTTTGTCATCAATCTTAATGAGATTAAAACCAAGTTGCTGGCATGAGTTCTTACTCTCATTCCAAGTTTTCTCTTCATTTGAAAAATAGTAACAGTTATTTTCACAGCACGACCAATTTCCATCATGTATGTCACAGCCTTTCTCTTGAAAACAAAAACTACCATGACCCTCAATCCCAAGACCATTTAGAGACCTGTAATTTCTATGTATGTCATTCCTTCCTGCAGACAGAATGACCAGAGAATAAATGACTTGCCTGTGTCCCAAAAAGCTATGCATATAGAATAGGTCTTCTGCAAATTCTGTAGGTAAGAGCACTGTGGAGCCAGAGACAGTTTCCTAAAGACCCAAGGCCATTGTTAAGACAGCACTGACAGCACTTGACTGCTCAAGTACAAATATTGTCAGTGATATGGAGCACTCATCCTCCAGGGAAAAATTCAACAAAGAGAGAATATATAGGAAAGATATACTGGGAAACATTCATTCACAAACATCAACCACTGTGACAATGTCATGTAGGTTTCTTACTTCAGAATAGCATAGCATCTAATTAACTATAAAAAAGAAAATGATTTGATGATAAAAATGTGAGCAAGACAAAAGTGTCTTTCAAAGACTAATGTAAAGTATCAAAAAATACATGTTGAGATGGGACAGAAAGAGAGAATTCCATGAAAAACAAAGCTGTAAGCTAAGAGCTTAAGCTTTCAATACCTACCTGTAGAGGTTGGTAAAGTTGAATGATGATAAACTGGTGAGGAAGTAAGATGTCCTTCTGGCTCATTCCCACTTTCACATTTACAAGAGTTCTGAAAAACTTCAACCCATCTTATAAAATTAAAATCTGAGTATCTTTAATACATCACTTTATTATAACCATTTCCTTTAGTTCTAGATATCAAAATAAATGATGTTGACTAAATGGAAAAACAGACAATTTGAGGTTAAAATAATATGATGCGTCACACATAAGTAGGATATTTAAAATAAAATAATAACCTGCCTATAATATTTCTATAAAACTAATAAAAAATAAGACGAAAGATTGAAAATATTGAATGATTTTATGCCATCTGCCATTCAATAAAGAATCTGAAGTTTATGCAACTTAGTTTTTAGCATTTTATTCAGTATTTGTTATTTGCATTCAGAGATAGACAGGTGATGTGGCTCTATGTATGTTCAGTACCAATTGATAATGGATTTAGTGAATATACATGGAGAAAGAATTATGTAGACTAAATCCAATGTGCAAAAAGGTTTAAAATTTTGGAAAGAAATAACAATCTTTTCTAAAATCTCACAAAAAAAGGTAAAAGCCAGACATAAATGGCTATTTGAGAGTTTAGATTTTTTTTAACCCATTACAGATCTGTTACAACTGCGAATGTGAACTTCCAATTCTGCTACTTACAAACATCATTCAAATATTCAATGTCTTCCTGAAAAAATCTAACATCAATTGCACAGTATTTTAATGTTATCAATTTTATTAAATATAGCTATTGCTCCAATTCAACAGTAAATTCCAATATTCCTATAATTTGCCAGAATTACAAAGCACACCAAGAACTCTAGCCCCTAATTATGGGAATTTAACGTGATTAATTTTCATCTGTTTTTATTTCTGCCTCTCTAAGGTCACATAGTAGAGAACTCATATTGACACAACCTACAACCATCTTGTGACATAGCCTTTAATCACATCAGAAAATAGCCACATCCAAACACTGATAGTCACACAACCACCCAGATTCTATTAATGCAACACTGATGGTCTCATCACCCTTTTACCCAAATACTACACAGTATAAATCTTGAGTCACACCTTTTTCCTAATTTAACAGTCTTTTCAAATATTTTGTCTTTTTCTAAATTATCTGTCACAACTCTTGACTCTCCCGCTCAACGATGCTTTTGTCTGCCATATCCCACAAAAAGTATCAACATTAAGCATGAGTAACACACACCTTGTTTCTCCTCATATAAATTCAGGAATAAATAAATACAGGAATTCATCTACACAATTCAGAGGGGAAAAAAAAGTTGCTTCCCACTGAATAAAGTTGATATTCTCACCTTTAGTGAGGAGCTCACCTCTATCACTTCCTTAGCATCATAATATCCAGCTGGGCTGTGTCTCCTGAACCTTCAACATTTTTCCTCTAGTGTTTCTCTTCTTTGCATTTGTTCCTCTCATGTCACCTTTTCCACAAAAATCCCTGTTCCCTTCTCATGTCCTTTATAAAGAGCTGTTTCCACTTAACTTTTACACATCTTTTTTTTCCATAGAATTGGGGAGTCGGCCAGAGATGGGGGCAGGGAGAGGATTCACCAGAGACAGAGTGGGGAGCAGAACAGGCAGACTGACTGAAATACACTGCTGAGGGGAGCAGCATAGACATTGGGGCCAGGATAAGATTATTCATGATTCTTCTTTCAAGTGACACTCTAACATGGCTCCTCAAACTTGTTTCATTCATTTCATTAGGTCATCAGTTTGTTACCAACCAAAAACTATAGTAGCTAGGCCATTAAACATTACATTTATATATTTTTATATTTTAAGTCACCCCATCCTCCTATAGCTCTTTCAATGTGTAACAGAATCTCACTTTCATCACTCAACTGATACATTATCAGTACGTATTTAGTTGCTTACTTCAGAAAAAATGAACAGACATTTCCCAGTGTCCAATATGTCTATGTGTTAGAAATAGCTCCTCTCCAAATTCTCTATTTAAGAATATTGTGCACTCACATAACCAAGTCAACACAACAATGTAATAGATGTTTCATTGTGAAAGTCAATATTTAACTATAAATTGAAAACGGATTTGTCGAGAAAATATTTGCAAAATTAAGAGTTCCTGACAATGACTAATATGATGGGTTTTTAATTAAGTTTGGATGACAAGAATGAGATAATTTGGTGAAAAACAAATCTTTAAATTGTAAACTTAAATATTCAGTACCTACCTCCAGTAGCTGGTAAAACTGAGTGAGCTTCAACTTCTGGTGAGGAAGCATTTTTTTCATTTCTGTGTCTCTTCTCTTCTATTTCATTCCCAAAATGGCACTGAAAAACTTCAATCCATATGGTAAACTTAAGAACATGAATGGCTTTAGTAGATCACTTTATTATGATTATTTACTTTAGTTCAAAATAGCAAATTATAGGATGTTGGCTAAATGCAATCAGATGAAATGTAAAGCTAAAACATTTTCAAGTGACAGAACATAAGATCTCTGTAGGAATGCTTTCTTGACCATAGGAAATTATATGCCATTCTTCTAGATCTTCATAACATTGTCTAAGCACTAATAATGACATTTTTAAAACTGCTTCATTTTTTTTAAAGATTTATTTATTTATACAAGAACCGGGGTACAGGCCAGATGCACGGGAGGGTGAGAGGATTCACCAGAGACAGAGCGGAGAACAGAACAGGCAGACTGAGGGGAGCAGCAGGTGCAAAAAATATACTGCTGAGGGGAGCAGCAGGTGCGAAAGGAGAGGTCTGCCTTGTTATGTAGGACCCTCGCCGGCCGCCTGGGATTGAGCAGGAGCTGCAGAGGCTGCGCTAAACCGCCTGCGCCACCAGGGGCGGCCCAAAACTGCTTCATTTAAAAAAAAAAAGTTTCTGGGTCTCCCCGTAGGCGCAGCAGTTGAGCGCTGGGTTGTGAAGCTGCCCGCAGCCTCTGCAGCGCCAGTTCGATCCCCGGCCACCAGGCAAGGGTGCCACATGGCGCGCAGACCTCTCCTGCCGCCTGCTGCTCCCCTCACCAGTGTACTTCGTCAGTCTGCCTGTTCGGTTCCTCGCTCTGGCTCTGGTGAATTCTCTCACCCTCCCGCGCCTCTGACTGTACCCAGTGCTTGTATAAATAAATAAATAAATAAATCTTTAAAAAAAAAAAATTCCATTTTTTTATTTGATTATATTTTAATCATGTTATGAGATAATGTGGGTTTACAGCATTTCATATGTTTTAGGAGGTACAGGCTCACATCTCTTGAAGTGTAAATTATTAAAGCACATTCACCACCAAAGCCCAAATAATCCTTCACCATAGACTGGGTCAATGAAATTGACTTTTTGTATTTCCTTGACTTTGATGCAAGACATACTTCCTACAACTAGATACTCGAAATTGTTGAATGAGTGAAAAAAAAAAAGATTTAACAATCACCAAGAAAAAGAATATTGAAAGCAAGCAATTTTAAAAATTATTGATAAAATATATATCAAAAGTAACAAATAACATTCATTCATATTGAAAATAGATTCATCTCACTTTTTGATTTAAGCAATATTATGGTATTATAAGATAAATGATACTGACATAAAATTTTTCCCAATTCTCTGGTCATTTGGAAAGACTCATCCTATAAAATAATGTTCACATATAAGAATATACACTATATACTTCAGCAAAACGTTTATGCTATTACATTTGTTATGCCATTTTGTGCACCTAAAAAATAACTGCTGGCCAAACAATAAAATCATCATAATTATCATCAACTCTATCATAATTACTAAAATTTCTATAGAACGTTAGAGTTGAAAGTTTCAGGAATCCATAGTGTTATTTAAAATCCTGGCTCATTATTTCCATGACAAATGTGTATTCCTGATACTCACAGATGTATGCTAAGCCTGCGGTTGTTAACAGGAGAATAAAACACAGAATTCCCAGACTTGCTGCAATGTTATGCCGTGAAAATTCTGTGCAAAAGAAAAAGCGAAATATACAGTAAGCACTGAGCATAACAAAGCCATAGAATTAAAATAAAATGGAAATATATCGCAGAGTATAAAATATGATTGCTGTGATCACAGATCTTGCTAACTATTGCATTTAAATATATTCCTCTATTTATAAAGAACCATCCAAATAATATCAAATATGTATATACAAAATTATCATGATTTCCTATATTATAATGTTTTCATAAATCTGGGAAAGGAAACAAGCTTTACCTCTCGTTTCGTGGACTGGAGGTCTTTTGTCCTTCTGTTTCCTTGGTTTAGAAAATTTCACTTCCATATATGTCACCTGCTCCTCACTCATTTTGAGCACTGAGGACAAAAATAGCAAAAACTTTGACTCTTTTATAAGGCATAATTAATAATATTGAAAAATTTAAACATTCATCATGAAGTTTCACCAGTTAATCACTTGGTAATTTATGGAAAGTTGATTTGAATAATCATCAAAGAAAAAAATGTATAAATTATATTACCATTTACCTTTCAATAAATATCTCTACCACAATGACAAACTATAATATTGAACTAGCTTTAAAGTCACATATTTCCTAGATGACTGTTTTTTTGTTGTTGTTGTTATTTTTACCTAAGTATCTGTATAGCCAGAAAACAAATTTGTAAATACACAGCTGGATCTATTTTAATAGAAAAATAATCATTATCAAAACATTCAAACTTTTCTTATTGCACTTAACTTTACAATGTAAGGTTTGGATCATTTAATGCTAACCAGTTACATAGCAACAATAGAAGGAAGAAGAGAAAAACAAAGATACATATTGTCCAAAAAAAATTAAATATTCTCAAACACATCTGATGATTTTTAAAACTCATATTATGCATAGTAAATATACTGACACATTTTCACTTTGATCCATGCTGTCAGCCCTTGTAGTATAACATTAGTTATTAATTGACATAGATCCCAAGTCAATTCAAGCAACAATCCAGAACCCTCCCAACTTTTGCATAGCTTTCCTGGAGCACATTCTACTTTATCCCTCACTGTGCAGCAGCCTGACAGCAGGGGCTGATCCTACCTGTGTCTTTGCCTTGGAGTTTTACCAGCTGGGGGATGAGCTTGGGCAGGAACACAGCAAGGATGTGCTGGCTCTGCTGGCCTTGCACCTCTGGTCTGAGGTGAGGAGGCCCTTGTTGATGTGAAACTGGCCTCAGAGAAACTGTGTAAGAAAAAAGAGAAGCATAAACATGTAACACTCAATATTCTCACACAGAAAGTTTCCACTTCTGTCTCTACCTCATTTACCCCCACACTGTGTCAGTAAAAGTATACAGAACTCAAATGATAAATTTTATGAACCAGCGATCAACTTAAACCTGAAACTTAGCAGTTACAGTAACGCTTGGGAAAAAAACAGGGTATCCGAGAATCTCATGTGAATAGGAAATTAATAAATTTGAAAATTATGGTGTAGGGTAAAGAAAATATCAGGCTTTTCTGCCCTTCCGCCATCAGGATAGATGATGGATCCTTGTCCTGAATGCATGCCTGATGGCGGGCACCTGGAATAGGGTGTGGGCATAGGTAGATGGGATTCAGCTGAGCTGAGACTGTGCTTTTTAAGGGCAGCGTCACGGGGGGACGCCAGCAGCAGAAGCAGCAGCGGCAGCACCAGTAGCAGCAGTAGAAGCCGGAGAAGCCGAAGCAGAAGCCGAGAAGCAGCAGAACGAACGCCAGAGAGTCCAGATATATTGAAGACTTGCTGGGGGCTGGGAGGCCTCCCAGCCCCCCAGCCAGCACCCCTGCCTGCCATATGCCTGGTGAACCCCAAATAAAAGACCTGCAAAACCACTGAGGACTCTGACTCCTCCTTTACCCGGTCTGCATGGGATCAGAAAACCTGCACAATGTCCTGTTCCTGCCCCTTACATATGGGAATAATATAAAAGAAATATTCATATTATACTTGGCATGAATTATACATTCTTTAATAGAATGAAGGTAGAGCATTAAATGTTACATATACAGAAAAATTAGAGAAATGTCAAATACATATAAGCAGCCTGTATTTTTAATAAGGCTATGCAGATTGCTTAACAGGTTATAGTAAATAGAAATACATACAAAATTGGGTTAGTAGATTTGAATAATAGCAAATTTCTACATTTTTCTTATGATTTCTTTACATTACCTAAAGAAATACTTTCTGTTTAAATAATATCAAAAAACAGAGATAGGTTATAAAATATTGAAGGGATTGAATGTGGTGCTTTAAAAGGATAAAGTCAAAATCATCAGTTCTAATAGATGTAAACAAACCTCTGAGCACATCTGAAAAATTATGATTTGTTTAATTGAAGGAGCAGCTCTATGCCAAATTTAGTCATATAAGTAGGTGTCACAGAAACAAAATCATGTTTTTGTTTCATATCCACCACATTGATCTGTGCACATCAAGATCCCCAGTGATTGATTCTTTTTAGACATGTATAGTAACAAAAATTAAAATCTACTTGTATATCAGCTACACTGCTTGAAGTCCTTTCAAAAGCATGTTTCCACAGCTGAGATTGCTTCCCCATCACTGTCCTACCCCACTTTTAACTTCAACTCCAGCCCAGGTGAGCATCTCCAGCTTTTCACTTTAACTTTAACTCTAGCTTTAAGTTTGCTTCTAACTAATTCCTTTTTAAGTGATCACTTTCAAGGAGCTGATTTCTAACATAAAGATAATGAAGGAAACATTCCAGAAATATTCCAGGCAAAAGGGTTTTCTCTTAAAAGCAAACATTTTTTAGGCCTGCCCATCAGCACGTACTGTCTCCCAGGCTCACAGGTGAGCTTCCTCTGCTGGTTGCTGTCCTTCTGTCTGTGCCTCCTAGCTGAATTCCCTAATTCCAAATGTGTGCAAATGATAAAATGATTATTCTATCATTTTAGTTAGTACTAAGAACTTTAGCTCTTAGGACATTTTTAAATAAGCTTCCAAATTTAAAACAAGTGAAATCTGTGCAATAGGTTCTAGAAAACCTAGTAGACTAGATACCTTTGAATATCAACAATTGTATCTACAGTATGTAAAAATATAAAGTATTATTATCAGAACAAGAGTATTTCATGACAGTTTGGGGAAGTTTGCTTTTTTTTTCTATTTTGAGGAAAGAATGAGAGACTGTTATTCATTCGTTGATTATAAACACTTTTTCCCCAGAGCTCTTTCCTGCCCTCAAGAGCTGCACACATCTATGCACCCAAAATATCTATGTATTTTTAGGGCTTCTTATAATGTTTTCTATACTTCTTTTCTACTTCATCTTTTAGTTATTATTCAAGGTCTCCTAAAATACTATTTGTGTTTCACAATTTTACAACCACCAAAGAAATGTGTGTCAAAGAAAAGAAAAAAATAAAATGGTATTGAGTAGAAGAATGACAAGCAGTAGAAACTAATATTTAACCACAAAATGATGTAAATGAGCAAGTAAATAACATGAAAGAGAGACAAACAAGGAGAAGAAAAAAGCTCAAGAGAAAAAAGCTCAAGATGTGACCATAACAAAGCAGAATGATAACAAGACATAACTCAATTAGTTGAACTTTATAATACAGCAGGCAGGGTGCATAAACTTTTGAAACGATGTCCCAAAAACAAAGTTCCAAGAGAAAATAGTTTTATAATGTTCTTTATATTACTGTTCTTATAAATTATTTTCCCATATTCACTTTGTTACTTTTACTTTTAAATTCAGAAAAGTTCAGTGAGTGTGGAGAAATTGTAAGTCTAAATTCTCGGTTCTATTAGAATAAAGAATTAGAGCAAATTATTTAATTGGGAAACAAATAGGAATTTGTGTGAACAGAAATGAAAGCAATGAAAGGATATGTTTACTTTTTTTCTGGATCTTTAGAATGTTTCCATGTGTCATTTTTGTTCAATAATTAGCATATCGATGTATTATCAAATTATTGTGAGCATTTCTGTTACAGTTTTGCCTTTAGCAACAATAGATTTAGGCCTTCGTTTGCCTTTTCCAGTCGCTGCCTCTATTGCCATTTTTCTTACTTCAGCTTCTAAAGCAAAGGAGGGGGGCTTAACATCAGTGAAGTTGTCAGCAGAAACAGATGTATAATAAAAATAAGGATTGCACCTTCTTGTACTTTCTGTTTTTATTCTTTTCCCATTTAAAGCCTGTGCCAAATGATAATTATGAAATAATGTTCAGTTGAGTGTTCTTTATAGGAGGTTAAAATAGACCCTCCTATTTTCTAGTAATCTGTATTTATATGTCTTTTTACTAAGGTAACTCTACCATACAGCACTGCATAAGTTTCATATATCAATGCCATTTTGTTGAAAGAAGCTATGCAAATTTTGAGCTATCCTAAAAGGCAAAGAAACTCATTCATAAACACTAGAGATATTTAATCAGAAGTAAGATGGCTGTTATTAAATTCAAAATTTTAATATATGAAATGGAAAATGTTCCTTCAACCTATTTTGTATTTATAAAATAGATGGTTGCACATTGGAGATTTAGGTGATGATTAATATTAATTATGTCTGGCGATCAAAGTCAGTTTAAGAGCACTTAGTAAGATACTTCATTGAAGAGGTATGTGAAATTGCTAAGTCTGACTGGACAGATCAAAAATGAGAGAAAAACAAAATACCATAATCTAGAATGAGATTATATCACTAAAGATTCTATGATGCCAAAAAGGAGAATAAGAGAATATTTTAAAACACATGAATGATTTTGTATAATAAATTTGACAACTTGATGAAATGATTGAGATCTTTAAAAGTCACAAACTGCCCAAGTTCACTCAAGAAAAAAACTGATCATCCCAATAAGCCCTGTGTCAATTCACAAAATTGAATCTGTAGTTAAAACATCTCCACAAATATAAATTCCAAGGCCAGACTACTTCACAGGAAAATTCTATTAAACATTAAAGAAAGAAAGAATACCAATTCTACACTAACTTTCCAGAAAATTATAGAAAGAGAAATGTATTCTATGATTTCAGGATACTCAATAATCTGATAAAACCAGAAGACATTATGGGGGAAAAAAACTATACTCCTCATACTCATAAAGAGTGTAACAATTAAAAAAATGGAAAATAATGGTATTGGCAAGGACATGGGAAAATTAAAATCCTGGCACAGTGTTGGAGGGAATGTATAAAGGCACAACTGTTACAGGTCAGGGTGAGGGACCCCCAGGGGCCCCCAAACCTGCCTGCTCTAAATAGCTTCTGCCATCTACTGTGTCAAGACAAAACATACTCTAGTGCAAAAGACCTTCAATAGAAAAGAACTTTAATACAATTAATGTGCAATAAAGAGAAGATAAAAAATATAGTTAAAATATTTTTCACACAAAACAGCCAAAGTTACCATCTCCTCATAGGTAAATGCCCAGCCAAACAAAGTTGGCCCAAAGCAAGACAGCTGAGGCCCAAAAACTTACCACCAGTCTAAGGCACCTTCTGGTGGAGACCCCTAAAAAAGGGGCAGAAGAGGATAGACAGGTCTGGAAGGAAAAGAACAAAATCAAAATTAAGATAAAGGCTACCATGTTTAACCTCCCCATGGGTCTCTCAGTCACATCTGTTTCAAGTGACTCCTTCCATGTTTCCCAAGTCCCTGGTATGAGTCCAAAACCAACAAGCAAACGCAGCTTCTTCACTTGTCTCTCAGTTCCAGGTGCCTCCTCTAGGTCTCCTCGATCTCCTCCCTTCCTTCTCTTTAGTTTTCCCTGGCTCCTCCTCCCTCTTCCATTCTACCCACCCCTTTCCCTGGAGATTACCACTTAAATTCCACATAAATACACAACCACTTAAATTCCACATAAATACCCTGAAAGCACATGTAAACACCCTGAAGGAGATCCTCATCTCTTATAGCCATGGGCTGGGAGTGCTGAAATTTTAATGCACTATCTCATCCTGCTTCTAGATGAATCACAACGCAATTGACCTCTCACCCTCCCAGGGTTTCTATTTTAAAATGATAACTGTGATGGGAGAGTTGTGTGACCGGAGAATGCAAGTTGGGTGAGGACATTAAAGAGACCCTGATGAAGTTGGAGACATGGAGCCATCAATTCTTATGTCTTCATTGCCTGTGGAAAAGGCTTCCTCATGCCCAGTAGCAGTGTCCTCTCCACTCCAGTGGGAGCTCTCTCCTAT